ATAATATAAATTAAAAATAGAGTTAATTATAAATAAGATTAATTAATATAAATTACTTATTTGCCCAATTTAGTAGTGATCGGCGATTACTGCGCCACATGCTGCGGCTGCACCACATGAATAGGTGATTGGTTATAATATATAGTATTATAAGATATATTAAATCCTAATATTGTAATATAAAATTTTTAGTTTGATATAAAAAGATCAAAACAATTAAAACAAGATAATGAAAGAAGAATAGAAAGATATTGTGAGGTATTCATAAAAATTATTGATCCTAATTTTTTTTCTTTGATATCAATTTTTGAATTTCTATTTTGTTAAATGCTGTTATATCAAATTTAGTAGATTTATCAAGTTTTTCTTGTAGTATTTTGATTGTTTTGTTTTGGAAGTAAATTGTTTGCTGATCTTCCATACTTTTTAATATTAAAGCTTATGCTATTTTGAGAGATAATATTTTTCCATCTGGTTCAATCCAAATTCCACAAAGAATATTATTACTGGTATTTTTATGTAAAAATGCATCAATTTTTTCTTGTTTTTGTTTTAAACTATGATATAATGTTTCTTCTTTTTTTTGTATATTAGTTTGTTGTAAACTTTCTGTTATTTTATTGAGTTTTTAAATAATAATAACATTTATTTTTTTTGATATAACTAATGCAGTATAACAAAGATCTATATAGACTATTGTTATGTTATGTACTTGTGTGATATTAGATGAAATGTGATATTGGATGAAATGTCGGCTTGATGAAAAGTATCGGTAGTAAATCATGTGAATTCTATTTTTATTAGATATTCAAGATAAATATAACTATTTTTTATTGGTCAATAAGAACAGGTAATACAAAAAAATTTAGTATACCATTGAATGATGGTAATTTCGTCAAAGTCTGCGTAAAAACATGTAATGATGTAATGTAATTAAGAAATAAATATTAATATAATGATCGGTACTTCACTGAAAATATACGTTCGCTTATCATTTCTGCTCAGCTACATTGAAACATATTGTTTCCCTTAATTATTAAGTATATCGTTATTAGCACGCGAAAATCGTAAAATGTGCAGGAAAAATTTGAATCCAAAAATAAATCATTATAATGACAAGAGCAAAACTATCATTCTTTTCGATTATATGCGCGAAATAATCCTAAGCGCGATGTTACTTCCTATTCTTTGATTTCGCTAGTAACGGTCGGCGATTTATATGGCTATCGCGTGATCAAGGGTAATAATGCGTAAATCATAGCGTACCGTATATGACCGAAAATAAGAAAGTCTCTCTATTAATGATCGATCAAACTACTATTCGATTCATCCAATCGAACTCCGATCATTTGATTATGAGATTTTTCGTTTTACATGTGGTCACGAAAAAATGCCAACAAGAAGATTAATGGAATTTGAGCTGTAACTAATATATGTACATCTAGACAATTTTTTATATGTTAAATTGTGTGTGTTTACCATTTTCTATCCAATAAATAATATTAACAATTTATAACAATTGAAAATAACATAGCCATCAAGGCAAAAGTGATATTACTGGATACCACGGATGATATTTAAATTCAAAATCAACATATTTAGTTCGTGAAGATTTAGGTTCTGATGTAGCAATATTAATTGTAGATGAAGCATTTGATGAAGATGACGGTAATGATGATTGCGGTTGTTTTTGATTCTGTTTTCGTGATGCGAGTGCTTCTTTTCTTTGATTTAATACTTCAGGATCCTGAAGCATTTTTTGCAAACCGACAATATTTGCTATGCACACACGAAGCATGGCTTTTAGATCCTTTTTCAATGGGGCATAAAAAAATTTGATGAGTAAACAAAAACAAGTAATGTCAAAGTAACCATGAAATATGATGGGTATACATTTTTGAAATCAGTTTCACACAAGTCCATTCTCGATTCACTCAATTTCATTTTCATTAGATGATCTATCGCCGTCTTGGCTGTTTCATAATTTTTCTTTGATGCAGACAAAAGATCTACAGCCTAAAATAAAATAAAATAAATAAAATAAATAATGAATCTACAAAAGATCAAATTAATCCTTAGTCCAACGTAATAAATATCAATTAATTTTATACCGTTAAATTATCAAATTTCGTATTTTCTTTGAATTCACGGTATGTCAACAGAGTAGGACTACCAAGATTTCGATACATTCGAAATCGTTGCCAAAAGCGAATTCCTTCATTGTCATATTCAAGTTGAGGTATCTTAAAGTGCCCAGTTTTTTGGAGAGCAGCAATAGTCTGCTTGGTTGATGTATATATAAATATTTATAAATCAAGTAAAATAAAAATTATAAAGAAAAAGTATTTACCCGATATATACCACGACAAATCTCTTGTCGTACTGTAATTATGCTTTTCTTACTTATTATTAAAGTGAACGATGGAGTCACAGGTGGTGTGGCTTGAAGAGCTTTTTGTTTCTTTGTTTTCCGAGATTCTGCAAAAAAATTGGTCATTTTTTTCCAATGATCTAATCAGTTAAAATATTCTTTAATCACCTTTGTTGGTTGCTGATGGTTTTGTGGTAATGTGCAGTAACATCCTTTCAAGATGCTGATAATGAACGCCCAATAGGTAATCAACATACCTTATAACAAACATTCAAGTATGAGAAGATTTATACAATGAACTCGGTGAATTTATAATATTTAAGTTGAAATTACCAATAAATCATTATGAATTCATGGTTTCCATATAAACCCAATTCGAATCCAAGGAATAAAATTTCTTGTAGTAAAATTAATTTCCGATGATAAACCCATGAAGAAAGGTAATAAGAGTGAGATGGCCCATCCTAAAAAAAAATATAATATTTGGTTAGCAATAGGCATCAAATTTCAGAAAAACCAAATAGGTTTATTCCAAGACTCACTTCAGTCATAATCGGTTCCTCTTTCATCAGGATATGTAATTCACCATCAATATGTTCCGCCTTTTTTATAATAAATGAGAAATTTTTATATTGTTCTATCAACCTTTACTAAGTATCAAAGAAATAAGACAAAATATATACTTCTTCTTGTAACAAGTCCCAATCAGTTAATACTTTACACATATTACGTCGTTGTCTTGAACGGTTGTGACATAAGATCCTAAAAATATCTGTCAAAGGCTTAAATTCGTATTAGCGAGAATGTTACTCGCAGTTTTTAACGAATCTGTAAAAGGATTCACATACCTTTACGGCGCTTTCTAAAAATTTGTTTACCAAGTGTGAGATTTTTGCTTTCGTTTCATCGACAATTGCACCGTTTGTCGGTTTATCAGTGTCTGATCTTGAAGCAAAGTATACATAAGGAGGGTTTGAAATTTCGGTCACTGAATCTTTTATTAGTTGAAATACAGAAAATTTCCCTAATATACGATTTTCTGTGCAGAATGTCGACTAATTTTGAAACAAAGATAAATGGTTTCAAGTTTAATGAATATTCTGTTTTTAATCTGAATTAGTAGATATATACCTGCAATAATGATCGTGAATATGCACAAGCGGGTGGTTGGCGTGCGGCATTATAATAAAAGAAGTTCTAGAAATGAATTTGGTGAGTAAGTTCATTTATAACCATCTGTCAAAAATTAATTATAGAAATATACCATTAGAATATCCGCCGATTTATATTCTGTTATTCCACAAATCAAGAGAGTATTTTCAAGAAGATTATTTAACTCCTCAAGAGACTAATTTTAATAATTTCTTGATTAATATTTAAGACAAAAACAAACCAAACCAAATAAATAAATAAATAAATAAATAATGCATTATAGAATTTTCACCTGCTGCATTGTCAAGAGGCGAATTGGTCTTGGAGGCGTTTGAGACACAAGTTTACGATTGATCAGTGGGTCAAAGGCTATTTCCAATATCAGTATCACGAAATGATTAGAAATGAGAGGTTATATGAATTCGATTGAAGATTTGTAGTTTGTATGTGACCATCTACCACCGTCAACATCTACCCCAAGTTCAATGGTGCTTTTGATTCCCGGCTCGCTATTTGTCCCATTTAGAATCTGTAGTGTTGTCAAGAGATGTCTCTGTGATTCTGTGTATTGTTGACATCGCGGCTTGGCTAAATGAATAAGAGCTAGAAGAAACGACTAAATATGACGCAAATGTATCAAGCAATTAATTTTCGTAAGGTATTACTTATATTATATAGTAACCTAAAAAAAATCTTCAAACCTTTCGTAACTGAAGTCTAGACTTTAATGCATGATAGAGTATCTCACATTTTTCTGGTTCTATAATGATAGAAGTATTAAATTTTTCCATTCAATATGTCTAAAAATATATATATATTAACAGAAAAATGAAAACTTACCATTTTCTAAAAGCCACGAGCCACCTTTCTGATCCAACCAACTCTCTGCATCATCTAATAAATTGACTGCTGTAGATTCTGAAAAATCTTCGTACAAATTTAGGGCGAATTTATTAGTCGCAAAATCCTCCTCCTTGATTTCAAATCATAAAAAAGAATTGCCAAAATAAATTTTGACGAAATATAAAAAAAAATACATATGTAATTTCAATTTGAAACTCACCTCATACACATTTCCTTTGATCATCTCTTCTAATACAAAATTGCAACATTTTGCCGTTCCCAAAATATAAGCTTTTAAAACTAAAATTACAAACTCTATTGGCACATCCGACGATGTTTCTTCATGATCTCCTTCATTCGAAAACAATTCGGGTTTTAATTCCAATACATGATGAAGATACATGCACGTATATAAAGTTTGCGAAAGCGAATGACCAGAATGCCATGTCATCTATATTAAATCATGAAAAATTAAAATCAAAAATGGCATTTATAAAACGATTTCATATATTTATATGTCAAATTTACCTCGCACGAAAATAGACGATCAATTACACCAAGCGCTTGTCTCGGAGTCAAGCGAGCATTCAAAATAAAGGGTTTTTTGGTGAGATCACTATCTAGAATCATTCCACTGTCCATCTTCGGATCCATTATCTAGACAAAAAAAGTATTCATATACAAATCAAAAAGGTTTCTGAATCAAAAAATCAATAATAAGAAATCATATCTAATTTTGTTAAACGAACCTCAATTGAGCTCATCGCATCATAAAGTCCGAAAGATTCTAAATGTATAAGTTGACCGATTTGGAATTCTATACTTTCACAAGAGCATAATTATCAAACCAATCTATTTTGAATTGTATGATTTTAAAATTATGAGAAATCAAAAGCACGGCAATATGGAGCATCAGTTTTTACCCTGCGTGACCTCATCGAGAAAAGTTGTGATATCTTTATATTCTGGCAATAAAAAATTATTGACGTTTTGTTGTGAGAGTGATGGTGGTTGTTGCGGCGGTTGTGGTGAGGCATTCAAGTTCAAATTTGAAATTGATTCTAATGAAGACAAGCGAAATGTAAATGTAGAAATTAAAGCAACTTCTCGATAATAATTTAGTTAAATATCCTTTCTCTTAGTTGCTGAACAAAAAAGCTACCAGTCACAGTTTCAACAGGTTTTTCAATGTTATCTGCTGAACTAAGAACAAAACCAGAATTAGAAATGCAGAAACTATAAATTCCAAAAAATATGTATACTTACGAGAAGTCTGACGGTAAAGACATTTGGTTGACAGTAAAAAAGAATTTTTAATAATTGCAAATTAAGTGATACTCGATCAAAAATTGAAATTATTCTAAACATTATCAGATGATTCTAGATCATGAGCGGGCCTCCGGTTACAGAACCTATTGGCATGTGAAAAAGCATGAATATTCAAATTATCACAATCATCACATATTAATTCTGCGCCAAAAATTATTTTCAAATGAATTGAAATGATTTTGTAATATTTATAAAGCTTGTATAATAAAGATTTTATATAAAGATTTTAATTTATTTGAATTTTTTTATGTTATTAAGTAATTAATTATATTTCATTTTAATTTTTATTAAATTTTATTAAATAAATAAATATTATAAATGTTATAATTTTGAATAAAAATTCTTTTTCTATTAATTATTTGATTGAATAGAACTATATTTTTTAAATAATTATAATCAAGATTGATTTTTGAATAGTTTAAATAGTATTATAAATAAAAACTTATATAATATATATATAATTAGACAAAAAAATTAATTATATAATAAAAATTTTATCTTGTTATATTTTTTAATAAATTAATAATTTTTATTATGAGTTTAATTTTATAATAATTAGTTATATTAATTTTTTTATATATAAATTAACTTGAATATCAAGTTCACAAGTTCAGTATTAATCTTATATACTTACTTGAATATTGTATCTTTATTATTATCAAAAAACTATTTAAAAGTTTTTTAAATAAATTTGACTAATTTATTATATAATTCTTGATCCAAAATCTAGAATTATTTATCAATTAATATTATAATAATATATATAACATGCTAAAAAAAGCTAAATAAAAATTCACTTTATTAAATATAATAAAATATTAATTATTAAATTCATTAAACTTTTATAGTTTAATATAAGTATTAAGATTATCAAAATTAATAATAATCTTTATAATTATTCAATTTTACTAAATCTTAATAAGAAAAAGAAAAGAATCAATTTATAATGATATTATATATAAGTTCTCTTAATATAAGCACAAATGTAAAATTCTTTTTGAAATATTTACATAATTAATCAAATAATCATTTAAATGCGATTAATTATTATAATTGTGATTTTATTAATGAGAAAAATAATCAATTATATTTCATTTAATATTAACATCAATATAATTAAATAGTTCACATTAAACTTTCTTATTATTATTAACTAGAAGATAGGAACCAAATTCTTATTACCAAATTTTGTTTGTCGATTTTATAAGTTAACTGATTCGACGAAAATATGTTACAGAATTATTTGAAATTCTTGTAATGCGTTTTTTCATATTCCCTGAGTTTATACTTTCGTCGCATACTTTGGATTGAGATTAATCGATCAAGTAGGGGAAAAAAGCGTTAAGAGACACAAAAATTGAAATTAATAAAGCATATTTTAAGCAGAAAAAATACATACAAGACAGGAACTCGTGGCTCTATAATATTGCGCTCTTCCAAGCTAGCTATTCGATCGCGGAAGAGATTTCCTTCGGGCTGTTTTTTACAAAATATATTAATAAGTTTGAAAAAAACGCTAAATTATGTAGCCGTGAATGATTCCTTAAATAAAGCGTACCTTTAAGGTCCTTAAAGACTCGGATAGCTCACCGTATAATTGTATGTCAATTGGTAGTTTAGTCACTCTAAAACATATAAGAGGTATTATTAATTCTATTTGGAATGAGATACTAAATACTAAAAGCAAACATGAACTTACGGATATTTTCCGATTTTTTTTAAAGGCATTCCAATTTTTTCTTCAGCAAGTTTTGCTTTTTCTATAGCCTTCTTTTCACGTTCTGAAAGCTCTTTTTCTACAGATTGGATGATTTCTGGTAATCTATCCAAGTAAAATGAACGCTCACAATTAAGCGAGAAAAAAAACAGCACAAAAACTGATAGGTTCATATTTCTACTTTGTGTCATACCTTTGTAATTCCTTTCTATGTTCTTTTTGGGCTTTTCTTTTTTCTTCTTCAATCTCTCTCTCCCTCATTCTCTTTTCTTTATTTCTTTGTACTTTAGATTTTCGCATTACAACGTTACTGTCATTTTTGCTCTTATTTTTGACTGTGACATCCTGATTTTCTTCATTTTCTTCCACGCTATCCTCTTCGTTATCAGAACCAAGCAGATTACGATCAATCATGTCTTGAGGATTTAATTCAGAAGTTGGTGCATCCGTGTACTTCGGAAGTTTTTCTTGCAACTTTTTTGATTCTTCTTCTTTGCGAATTTCTTCCTCATTCGCTATATAAAGTAATTTCTAATTTAAATGATTAATGAAAAAATATTAATCATAATAAAAGAATGTAATGTTTTAATTTTATTATCTGAAGAATAATGATTTACTTGATGGTCTTCAAAAGTCGGATTATAGCTTGCACCAGGATGTGGTATATGTACAGGAACAACTTTTGTTGCCGGTTTTTTCTGTAAGGTTTCCGGTGCCTATTTTTTTTAAAAAAAAATTTAAAATTTCCAACCAATCACGAAAATCACTAACTTTTAGTGCTTACTTTGGTTTTTCTTCGTTTAGCAGGATTTATAAAATCATGTGCATCTTGCGAGTCTTCATATATATTAAAAATTCATTCAATCAATTAATAGTTAATATTTTTATTCTAGCAAAAACAAGTAAGAATGAAAAAATACGAAAGAAAGGTAACCTTCTTGCTCCTCCCAAACATCATAAGTTCCAGCGCGTTTCACCGCCTCACTAGATCCCAAATCATTAGTCATACGTAAATGCCGTTTACGACGTACCATTTGTTCTAATCTCGCATTTTCTGCACGTGACGCTTGGCGCTTTTCCGTTTTCCGAAGATTCGATGTTCTTGAAGCAACTGCTGGAATCTTACTTCGTGATGAAAGGATTTCATCGATGCGTAGCACTTTTTTGATTTTTTGCTTCACTATATTTAAAATAAAATTTTACTTTTATATTACATAGAATCATTTAATTGATGGTGAATGTGAAAGAGTTACCATTTAAATCGCCAACAGTATCAACCACAAAAAGATGTTCGTTGAACTGGTCTCGCAATCGCCCACTATTTTAAAATGTTAGTTATTTTTGACAGTTCCAGATATATTCATCAGAAGTGACAAGGCACCACTCTTTTAGGCCAAATGCAAGAAATAACTACTTGTGCTTTTTTTTCAAATGCCGAATTTTATAAATTTATAATAAACACTAAGCTAACCCAATTGTTCGTTCTTCACTTCTTATCTCTTCAAGCGACTGTTCGACCTCAGTAATATCAACATTTTTCCGCCACGCTTTCTTACCCTTTCGGCTTGGTTGAGCCGCAGGTTTCTTTTGAGTGATTTCTTCTGATAAGTTGCCGTTAAACATTTTTATCAAGTCTAACAGAAAAAAATGAAAAGATTTCATAAAAAGAATCTCATTCACGTGATTATTTGATCAGAATATTTTGAACTCGCTCGAATTTAATGTATTCCTGTTGCGAATTATTGTGTAATTCGTTGCTATATAGTGATCGGCGTTCTTTTTCGGAACGCGCACACGATTTTTCATGTATATGTAATAACATGAAATTTTTACTAGCTTCAGGCATATACTATATGCGAGAAGGCAAAATCATCCAATTTCAAGGGCGTATCCCAACCTAATCTAATCGCAAGAGGATCATCAGTTGCTTTAGTAAAATCGAAGACCGACCCTGGGCTATACATCTCCCTCCCCGAAAAAAAAAGGGCTAAATGCGTGATATTCTCGCACCACTTACATTGCTAATCATTAATCACATGATTCTCACATGAATTCAATGAGTTCTTTTTCTTTGCAGTGGCTGGAAAAAGTCACACAAACCATATTAAATCACATGCCCGAGGTTTTTTTAGTGGATAAGTTCTTTAAATATCCAGCAGCGAATAACGGAACAACGACAACAATAATAATAGATTCCCGCCGACCTCTTTAGTGCATCAAGGTGCATTATTGAAAATTTAAAATCTATTTGTTATAATAATTAGGAATTCGAAAATTGCTATTACTAAATTTATTACGAGACAATGGCACACAACATTCATGTACAATGAATATCAATAACCTTAATTTAATTCTCAAAGACCCAACATACTAAAAATAGACCTAATGTAATAAGGTAATTAAGGTGATATCGATACGATTTCTAGATATATTGATGAATAAAATTTCTCATGCCACTATAAAAAAAAACCGCACACAAGAATATGAACTGTTTAATCTTGTTATTTTGTTCGAGTATGCCCCAATAATAACCTTGTTTAATGCGCTTGTTTTTTTTACGCGTAATTTATTTATTTTCCTGGACGAGTAATAAAATAAAGCTCGAATCTGTCATTGCGATTATATTTAAATTGTTTTATTAGTATCTGATAAATTTTGTCAAAAGAGAACAAGTAGTAATAGCCAAAGTGGAATTTACATCACTGTTTCATGCTATTCACTTATTTAACTTGCTTATTCTACTAACAAAACTATCGATAATATATATAAATTAGAGTGTAAGTTCGAAGATATACCTAAACCCTACTTTTTGCTTTCTTCATATTTTATAAGCCAAAACAGCTCATTTCTTCTATTCTTGTCTGAAGAGCACAAATAATGGGTTGTTGTTCTTCGCGAGCAATATTCGATGATGCGGTACGAGAAGGAACTGCTGATAACCCTGTGCCACGTGGAGGTAATTATTTTTCGTTATTTATTTTAAAGATGTATGAATGATGATGTCTATTCCTAAGAATGAATGCTATTATTTAAAAATTAGGAAATAAACCATTTACCAAAAAAGGGGTAACATGGACATCAGAAACTCCAATAAGACAACGGCAATTAAAAGTGCAAAGAGACGCATTTTGGGATACTGCACCAAGTTATGAGGTATTCTAAGACCAACGTTATTAGTAAAATCTCTTTTTTTTGTTCTCAATTAATCTTTTGAATTTATATTGACTCGAAGGGACGACTAGAAATATGGCAAGCACTTCGATGTGCATGTGAATCAGAAGATCTAACACTCGCACAAGCAATCATTGACTCCGCCAACATTACTATACCTACAGGGAATCTAACGGACGGTTGCTACGACGAACTAGGGAATCGATACGTGATTCCAGCATATTGTATCGTAGATCCTACCAATCTAATAAAAGGTAGCAGCAGTGAAAACGATGAAGGAAGCACATCAACACACCAAGACGATGATAATATGGATTCTAAATTATTATTGGGATCATCAACAGGTGATAGTTCTTCCCAGCTCACTGTCCGGCTTTCAAATGTGGCAAGGGATGTACATATCAGCACCAATCTCGAACAGGAAACGATTGGGACATTACGACAAAAGTTATGCGCGAATGAAGGACTGGACGGGCGGAAATTTAATGTGCGGATCGTCTTTTTGGGTCGTATGTTGGATGATAAGACCAAGTTAGCGGATGTGAAGTTTGAGGAAGGACAAGTTTTGCAAGCGTTGATCACAGAAAAGTCATGATGTAAATTTTTAGATGGGGGGAGCGAGGAATTTGGAATAAGGTTATAGACACTCGAGCCTCGTTATAACGGATTATAATCAAAGCGGATTTTTGCTTCGTATGTAAAGCATATCTAAAATCCGTTATAACGTAATTGATAATTTTGTTATAACGGATTTAAATGCAATTTTCTCCCGGCCACTTCGTTATAACGAGAATCGAATGTATAAAAGATGAATGGGATTTACTTCAAAATTGAGATTTTATTTATCACATTTTAATGTATATGACGGGTGTATTATATAATCAAGAAACTGTCAATAATTGCATATTTTGGTTCTCATTTCCCACAATATAATCGTTAATTAATGTAATCGGATTGCGGCCTGGGAAATACAAAACTAATTCATGGTTTAAATGAAATTCAATATTTAGTTTTGTCCACTCTTTCGATAATAATTTATTATTGCTCACTTATTGATATTCTATTATTATAAAAGCAAAAATTAAATCCAATAAAATCTAACAATTCTGAGAAGTACAAAATATTTCTACAAAGAAAAAACCACTAAATATACCCATGACAATAAATAATAAAAGCGCTCATAAAACTACTCGTACACAAGAAAAAAATTAAATATATTCGGAGAGATAAATTAGATTTTTCGTGCACCCAATCCACTGCCTTTCTTCTTTTGTTCCCTTAATTCGCCCATTCTCTAAAAGAAGGGGAAGGAAAATTTAGAATACATCAAGATGCATCAACCAATCAACTAATAACAATGAATTACCTGACGTCGTTCTTCTCTTTTGCGATTCATCTCGGCGGCTTTCTCTTCTCTTGACAGATTATTTGAAGGTGGTGGTGGTAATCTTTGGATCGTGGGACTACTACTATCACCCCAGTTATCACCCCATCCTGAATCGTCGAAATTCCAGCCGTCGGAAGAGATTGTTTCTAAATAATTACACGTGGCAAAAATTTCGATTTTTTAGGAATCTTAAACATAGAAAATCAATTTGTAATAAATATAAACTTTTATTACTTGATCCCAATTTCATTGACGAAGTTGCGCTAGTAGGTGTTAATTGCGACGAACCAAAATTTGATGATATTCCTGAAACAGGACGTTGTGACAACGACAATGAAACAGAGGATGCGGAAGGCGATTGATGAAATCCCCCTATATTAAAATTCATCATCAGAATTGCTAAAACGTATATGCAGCGATTATCAATGAGTAACAGAAACTTTAACATGTATACATACCCCAATCATCATCATTATCAGCATTCGTGTTCACAGCATTAAAAAAGTCATTGTCAAAATCGAATAAATCATTCGATACTTTAAGGCCTAATTATAAAAAAAAATAATTTATCATCATTATCACTAGATCTTTTTTTATATTTGAAATATATTTATTTACCTATGTTATTACTTGACCCCAGTTTCATTGAATTTAACGAATTAGTCCCACCAATATTTCCTGGTTTCGCTCCTCCATTTACTGTTGTAGGAGCTAATGGCGGAAAAGAAGATTGAAATCCGTCTAGAAAATGTTTTATATGTGTGTGTGTGTGTGTATATATATATCTCTCTCTCTCAATAATAATTATAACTTATCAAAAAAATTTCTTTCACCACTTACCCCAATCATTAGTTTCTTTCTTTTTCGTATTATTTTCAAAAAATATTAATCCTCCACCGAAATCTATCAAAGTATCATCATGCTCCCATCCATTTGAAGTATTTGAGGTGGAACTATTGTTATTATTACTATTGCTGTTTGAGGCAGAAAGTGGTCTGGATGAACTATTATTAATTGATTCTGATTCATTCCTCGTTGAATTTGTTGTTCCATTAACAGGAGAACTTGATGTTCTAGGTGGATGTGATGGCGTTGGTGGTTCCGATATGTTACCCGTTGTTTCGCCTGATCCAACAAGCTTTTCTTATAACAAATAAATAAGTAAAGAAAAAAAAATACATGCAATAAACATGATATTAATAATAAAAGTATTCACCTTTTTACTCAAAGAAGTCACTGCCCAACCACCCCATGTTTCTGCAGCGGAAGCAACAGCTCCAGCAACACCGCCTGCCGCTTGTGCGACTCCTGGAAGTCCTGCTGGCGGAGGTGGTGGTGCAGTCTCGGCCTAGAATATAAAGATTATAAAATAACAATAATAGGCAAACATAAATTATTACTAATATTATAACAAGTACCATCGTATCAACTAATTTTTCTAGTCGCTTAACAAATGCGTCAAAAGTTTTGAAGGCTTGTACGCGAACAGACCTATAGAAAAATAAGTATAGTAAATAATATATATTTCACCAATGCTAAGGAAAAATAATGAATCTTACTTTTCCAGATCTATCAGTATCAAAGACACACAAGGCAAAATTTTTGTGGCACAATCTACTTTATCGTAATATTCAACGGTGGCTATATAATAAGTGCATCGATTAATATTCAAGTATAAAAATAATCGATAAACAATTACATAATAACTCTCACCGGTCAATGCCATTAAACTTGCAGCCCTTGCATGTGGAAAAGGGTCACGTAATGCTCTCGTGAAAGCGGGAACTAGAACTTTACCTCTTGTCTGCAATAATCAAATGGGTATCACTGTTAGCATTTTTTAATCTCATATAGATTAACTAATGAATTAACTTACACTTTCACTCAGGTACTTGCTAATTTTACCCAAACAAATTGTCGTGTTCGTTCTAATACCGGGCTCTTCATCAACTTGCAGTTTCGCCAGATATCGAAGTAAGTCATTATTGATAATTCTTTCCGATAACTAAATAGAAAAAGAAACTAAATAAAATAAATCTAACAAAGTTAAACTTTTCTTGCTCTCCTCACCTTTGGCGCGAGTAATAAAACAGATTTCACCGTCATTTCTCTTATAACCGGCGCGGTATCTGAAAAACCTGTAGCCTGTCATCTCATGTAATTAATAATTTATGACCCTTATGAATAATTTTTTAGAAAAATTTTCATAGCAACATACTATATGCGGAAATATTTTCTCAGTGACTGTTTTATTGTTGAATCTTTCGATAAATGCCGGTAGATTCTCTAGTAAATTGAGCCGCATAGTTCGATCAGGTAAGGCAAACATTTTTATTATGGCTGTTGAGATGTATTGGTCGTATTCATCTTGAGATAGAGTTTTGCCAATCTTTATAATTGGTCCTATGACCTTGACTCCTCCTATGTTTGTTATTATGGTCAGCAGACATTTATTTTAAATTTTCGTTCAGGGCTAAGAATATAAAATCGAACCTGCGCCAAATTCCAACGCGTTCAAAAGTTCCGGCAATATTTTATATTTACAAATATTTTCCGGAAAGGTATCAATTGAATCGTTCAATTTTCTGAGAAATTCAAAAAAAATCAGCAACCGTTAAAACGTTAATCAGAAAATTGATTAAAAATTAACTCACTTTATAAATGCAATTTTTTCGCTCGCTTCTTTGATATTCATATTCTCCAAAAACAAATTCACTTGCACTAAATCATTTTGGAAAATTCCTCCTACACGTAATCCATTCTCCATAAATACTGAAATATTGGTACGGAATTGAGGGTTCTGATTAATTAAGTCTTTGTATTCTATATAAATAGCCTAAACAAAATTAGTCTTGTTAATTTAAATTTTCAAAATATACAAGTTAAAAAATAATCGAATATATGTTTGCTTACTTGAGGTATTTCGCCCGCATTTTGAAGTTGATCAACCGACGTGAATGGTCCATTGTATGCTTCATATATAAGTGTTCCATAATTCCATGCATCAGTTACCCAAATCTCGTAACTATGATTTTCATACAAAAATAAAAAAAATTATTTTGTCATAATTAAGTTACGGTCTTAAATATATTATTTGATAAACTAACCACTTTAGCTTTTTTTATTATTAATACTCGTGATTGTTGTCTTAAAATAAATGCTCACTCTCTTAATATATTCCACGAACTTTTAGTTATTTCCGGTGAAGAATATCTCGAGGAATCTGGCAAATATCCTCCACTCGTCTACGTCATATTCCAATAGATATTTTAACAAAACATTATATACTTAGTCAAAAAACATATTTTCACATACATAAATAATCGGATCCTCTTCTTTCGATGAACTCATCAATTCAAAGCCACCCAATTTCCATTCACCCGCTTTATTTGTGAATATTGACGATATGCGAACATTTCCGTGAACGATCGAACAATCATTATTCAGAAATTTGAGGGCATTCTACATGTTTATAATTAAAAATTAATCTTTCGCGTAATTTTTTAAAGAATAGAAGTATAAAAATAAAGATCAATTACATACAGCAACTTTATATAATCCCCATAATTTCAAATTGTCGTCGGATAAAGAACTTGATTGTGATTTTAATGGGACCACATAATCGGTGACAATGTATATATATGATTCGGTCTAGATGATTACATAATATTTTAGAATATCGAAATTAAGTTAATAAAAAGGATTACAAATTGTTCATACTTCTACTCCGTCGACATATCGCAAAAGATCAGGATGTCGTATTGTGCGCATTTTTTTAAACGCGTTCCTGGCTAACGGTATCCAATAAGTTTGTTTTGTACAATCAAAAGTGAAAATCGACACATCGGAACCATCCTCCTTAAGGAAAAAAGAATTACCAGAAATAAGAATGGCTGAACTCAAGAAATCAAATAAGCTAGATATTAAATGAAGAACTAAGATTTCTACCTTTTTTGTTCCTCGAAAAAGTTCCCAAATAGACAAATTATCATATTCTACCACCTTTTCGCCAAAATTATACGGAAAAGGTGGTATATCTTTTCGTAAAACTACTCGCGATAAAGTTGACTTTAAGTAGTCCATCAAACAATTGGATTTAAAATGTTTTAGAGATTCTTGAGAAAACACCAAATTATTTTATGAAATAGTGCCTAACTAAATTAATGCGGAAAAACGGTTATCGATGCAACAAAGCCTTTTTTTTTAGGGTCACACCATTTCATTTTTACAATCTAAAGCAGATCGGGATGCTATAAACTTAAAAATTACCCGATTTACTTTATTCAACAAGACAACAAGAGAATAATGGCAGATGTTTATGAAAAGACTACAACCGCACCTGTCAATATTGCTGTAAGTAAATACAACCATAAAGCCACTTTATTACATATATTTGCTTGAATAACATGGATTTCGAATAAATATTTAAAAGGTTATAAAATATTGGGGAAAACGAGATACTTCTCTCATTCTTCCGACAAATTCTTCTCTCTCTGTGACTCTTTCTCAAGACCAACTTCGAAGTAAAACGACTATTCGCGCCTCAAAAGACTTTAAGACAACGCGTCTATGGCTAAACGGGGTAGAAGAGGTGAATTTGGAAAACAATAAACGTTTACAAGCTTGTCTTCGATCTACTCGTCTCTTACGCAAAGAATACGAAAATTCTCTGTCAAGTGCCGGCCATCTTAATATTCCACCTCTGTCCGAATGGAATCTTCATATCTGCTCGGAAAATAATTTTCCAACTGCTGCTGGTCTTGCATCTTCCGCATCTGGATTCGCTTGTTTAGTCTATACTCTGGCAAAATTGTTTGAACTTCCGACATCTATCACAGATCTTTCACGTATTGCACGACAAGGATCCGGTTCTTCGTGTCGTTCAATGTTTGGCGGGTTTGTGGCATGGGAAATGGGGAATAATGCCGATGGTTCAGATAGTCAGGCTGTACAGGTCGCGTCAGAAACTCATTGGCCTGAATTAGAAGCTTTGATTTGTGTGGTTAGTGATTTGAAAAAAGCAACAAGCAGCACCGAAGGAATGCAACATACAGTCAATACCTCGGAATTACTACAATATCGAATTTCCAAAGTGGTGCCAAAACGAATGCATGACATTGAAGCAGCAATTCACGCACGTGATTTTAAAAAATTCGCAGAAATCACTATGCGTGATTCAAATCAATTTCATGCTGTTTGTATGGACACTTTTCCGCCAATATTTTATATGAATGATGTTTCGCGGGCTATTATTCGATTAATTACCGAATATAATAATAGTGGTGATGGGACCTATAAGGCTGCATACACTTTTGATGCAGGACCAAATGCTGTAATATACGCACCAAAGAAGAATATCAAGGAGATTATTAATTTATTAGCACACTATTTCCCTTCTACTCTCGATTCAAATAAAGAGTATTTCAATGATCATGCTTGTTTATTTTCGGCTGAGGAAAGAATTGGACAATTGAGTTTTCCGTCTGGTTTTAATTCTCAAATTATCCCCGTGTTTCCTGCAGGTAGTGTCAAACAGTTATTGCATACTCGAGTCGGAGAAGGTCCAAAAATTTTAGAAAGTGATGAGAGTCTATTGAACAGTGCCGGATTGCCGAAATGACTTGTATAAAACTTTAAAGCTAATTTATTTAATATTTATTTAATATATTTATCATATTTTGATTATGTACTTCCTAGCAATATTATTAATTATAATAAAGTGAAAAATTAATTTTTATGAAAATTTGTAAAAGAATCTTTATCTCTAATGTAAATCATTTTTTCTTCTAAATAGAAGTAAATATTATAAATCATTTTTCTTCTAAATATATATATATTTAATAAGTAAAAAATATCTTATTTTAATTAAATATTATTTATTATCATATATAAGAACTTCAATATTCTCATTGTTAATTAAAAGAATAATACAGTCAGTAATAAAAAAAATAATAGCTCTTAGATTTAATAAAAAAATATAAAACTTTAATATATTATTATCTTTTTAATATAAGATTAATTTCAGGAGTGAGTATAATTCTTAAACTATCAAAAACATGTATTTTTATTAAGAATTATAATGCTAAATACTTCTTTATAGTATGTTAACAAGAATATATTCTTTTATTAAGATTTATCAAAGATTATTTCTAAAAGATAGATAATGATAATGTTTATAAGATAATTAATTAGAATATAATTCAATTTCAAAATATAACTTTAATAAAAATATAATAATTAATTTATTAACAAGATGAAATAATAAATCTTAATCAAGATCTATTCTGCAAGAGATATTTCTTAGAATTCTCTTTAACTATAATTTACTAAAATACAATTTAAGAATTAAACTTATAGAACTCAAATATTCAAGAAAACTAACTATTTAACTAATTTTTTTTACTAACTAAAATATATCACTTTTATATATTTTAGAGATTATATAAATAATACTTTTATTATGATACTTATGTTACTTTTGCTATAATCTAAATATTACTTTAACTAGTATCATAATGTTAATTTTATTATGATAGTATTACTAGTTTTGTTATAATAATTTTACTAATTTTACTATAATAATTTTGTCATAATTATTATATTTACAAAACTATTTATAAATATTTATGAATAATATTTTCTATAGTTAATATTTAATAAGTAATAAATAATTAGTAATATAAAGTGATTAATAATAAATAACTAATTAATATTTTACTAAGTTCATATCATAATAGAATTATAATTTTCTAGTTATATAATATAAAAATATCAGAAAAATTTATATAAAAGATTCAAAATATAATAAAATAGTTGAAATAATATTTATACAGAAAACTAATTCAAGAGCAAGAGTAAATGAGAATTTATAATTAAAAACCTAATCTTTATTATAATAATTATTATTAAAATTATAAATAAATATAATATCTTTAAATAATAAATTATGATTATATAAAATTAATAATAATAAATAAGAAATTAATAATATA